GAAAATTGCATAGAGGTGTTTATGGATGATTTTACTGTTTATGGATCCTCTTTTGATGCATGTTTGGATAGTTTGGATAGAGTTCTGAATAGATGCATTGAGACTAACCTTGTTCTTAATTTTGAGAAATGTCATTTCATGGTAGAGCAGGGTATAGCTTTAGGGCATATCATTTCTAGTTGGGGCATTCAGGTTGACCCTACAAAGATATCTGTTATTGCACAATTGCCTTACCCCTCTTGCGTGCGAGAGGTGCGATCTTTTCTTGGCCATGTAGGTTTCTACAAGCGCTTCATTAAGGACTTCAGCAAGAAAGCCCTTCCACTATCCAACTTGCTACAGAAGGATATTGATTTTAATTTTGATGACAGGTGTAAGGAGGTGTTTGATTGCCTCAAGAGAGCCTTGACCACCACTCCTATCATTCAGGCACCAGACTGGACAGCTCCCTTTGAGCTGATGTGTGATGCTTCCAATTATGCACTAGGGGCTGTCTTAGCACAGAGGGTTGACAAATTACCTAGGGTGATATACTACACTTCCAGGACATTAGATGCTGCTCAAGCAAATTACACGACCATAGAAAAAGACCTTTTAGCTATTATTTTTGCACTTGATAAATTTCGATTATATTTGCTTGGTTCTCGTGTTATTGTTTTTACAGATCATGCAGCTCTAAAGTACCTGTTGAAGAAGGCTGACTCAAAGCCTAGGCTGATCAAATGGATGCTCTAGCTTCAAGAGTTTGACTTGGACATCCGTGACAGGAATGGAACACAAAACTTGGTGGCAGACCATCTCAGCAGGATTGAGAGAGCTGAGGGTGAGGACACTTTGCCCATTCAGGATGATTTTTCCTGATGAACACTTGTTAACTACTTTGTTTAGATTTAAATGTATCTTGAAGTTTATTGTATAAATAATTTTCAGTTAATTATTTCCTTAATATATAATAGGAGTAGGCATGCTCTTTGAAAGAATGAAAATTCTAAATCTTATTTTCATGGGAAATTTTTATAGTTATTCATTATTTGTCTAGGTTTAAATCATTACCTTTACAATTATATGGATACTCGCCATTTATGTGTTATAGTTTGTACATCCCATGTTAGATAAGTTGAGCCGAGCTCATAGTGAATTTGGATCGACCGGAAAGTTCAATCAACTTTTTGCATTAAATCCAAAACATAATTAATAAAAGGCATCCTTAAATGGTATCTCCTAGAATTTTGGACCAAATTAAAAGTTGATACGTCAATGACTCATTGAATACCATACACAATTATAGGAGCATATCAACGAATATCGTACAAGAATATCTCCTAAAATTAAGCAACATTGTAAACCACTTATATAAGTCTTGTATCATTCTACTATAATCTCATTTTTAACCTAAACTTTCCTCTAACTTAAGTGTCAGAATGTCTTTGCAGGTGTCATGTTGTCTCTGTCATGGAAACACTTGCAAATTTTGGTAAGGACATGGTTTTATGTTGAGAATCTGTCATGATTAGAACTTTATTTAAAAGACTATGTGTTTTAGCCATTGTACCTAC